GCGAGCCCCCGGGCCGGAGAAGCCTCCCACACCCATTTCTTTTTAAAGACTATGTTGGCGGAGGGGGGGGCAGATATTTATAGGCACATTGACTCCTGTAACCAAAAAAGGAACGAAAAAATAATCAATTCCCATTATTTGACCCTTTGGCTAAGCTTGCATGACTCAGAGTTATTCACTCGGTGCCCGGCCCCCCCAGCAGCAGACACGCCCGAGGTACGCTAGTGGACGCCTGGGCGCGACAACACAGGAGAATCACAGATGCAGCAAACCGGCTGGTCTGGGTGCCCTAATAGCCCAAGGTGCCTGTGACCTAGACTGGAGCCTCTCACTACCTGCTGTTGTTGTTTTGGAGCTTGTTACGCAGGCCGGCACCGGATAAAAGGGCCTTATTCAGCCCTGCATGAATCAAACGGGTGTGACTATCAGAGACACCCATGATCCTTTTAAATACACCCACCCCCTCCCCCACGTCCCCAGATCATTAGGGAGGACACCTGCGCACTGCGGGATCATGGGAATTCTGCCACTCCTCTTCAAGGGGTCTGTACTTGTGAGGGTCACAATGCCCTGACTGAGACTATGTGATACTGATCAGACAAAGTGGAAAGGTTCCTCACGCCCCCCTGTCCCCCCCTCCCCTCCCCTATGCTGTTTATCTAAAGGATAGAAGATCGTGCCGCAGCGTCCCTGTTCATCCTGCCCGGTGGACAGTGAGCGGCTTCTCCCGGCTCTCGTGGCTCGACTCGTTGGGCCTGTTTCTCCTGCCCTCCTGCTTGTGGCATGCGCCGCCTGCTGAGGTTTCCCCGTGCGCTGCATTCTTGGGGTGTTTTGCTATTGCTCTGCTGAGAAAGTCTGAGCCTCCCAGAGGCCTTCAGAGAGGGAAATTTACATCCACCTGAAAGGGGACAAGACCTTCAACTGAGAGATCAGCCACTAGATGCTTCTTTATTTGATCCCTTCCTTCCTCGAGGACACTGGTACTGCCAGAAGAACTTCTCAGTGGGGGAACCGAGTGGAGTAAGAACAAGGAGCCTAAGATTCCTCTAGTCCTGTATTTCCCAATCTAGTCCTCAGGGGACTCCCAAACAAGAAAGTGTTCTAGTCTAACTAATCATACACTGATTCTGAAAATCTCCATTGTTCCACTATTTCAACAGCAGAGTTAAATAAAGGGCCCGTATTACATAATAAGCAAAAGAACTAAATGTCTGCTGGTTAGATACTGTAGCACCTCAACTGAAATCAAAACCAGATTTTAGGTTCAGCAGAGGGGTTATACTGAAGAAACGTGTAACTTTTGAAGATGGGATTGTCTCATTGCTGATAAAATAAGAGTATGCTCCAGTGCATTACAGATTTTATTACATATGACCTTTGAACATTTATATAAATCCACAGCTGCTGTGATCATGTGGCAATCAGCTGCTTAGCGTTCAGCTGATTCACCTGGGTTTTATTGTGATATAAACTTAAAGGCTACATTTCTATGAACTGCAAGATAACTTGCAACAATATAATAATCAAAAAACACTGTCCGCTTTAAAACACCTCGGTTTACAATGAGAAACATTTCTTTTAAAATTAACTAGAGAGAGATGCCAGGTTTTCTACAAAAGAAAACTGCCGACGGTCAGAAGCCAAAACATCAGTGTCATTACAGAGAATCGCATTAAACCATAAAAATGCGCCACAGGCTGCTGGCAAAGACGACTGCATCCTCCACCGAAGACCACGAGCTACATATCATCTATGGATACACCCTTACTCTTGGATGCTGGAGACATGAGATGGAGGTGACATGGGGCAAAACGTCACACGGAAGGTTCGCTTAAACATCGCTTCCGAAAAAGAATCAATGCACAATCACTTAATGCGACACACCCTGCAAGACATGCATGGAATGAACAGAAATCAGGAAAAAGCCAAAAATGCAGCCGCTGTGGCCACACTGCCGGGAAACCCAACACCATAAGGTGACATTGTGACGGTATGAATTCGACCCTCTTCGTGGCATTACCGTGGAAACAGGTTACCCACGTAATACTGACAATGAATCGGTAGAAATGGGAGGAGAGGAGTGACCGGCAAAGTTGCATTGGGAAATATTAGTGCTTACTTAGCATGGTGCTAATAACAGCACCAGTGAACAAAGTATCAGAGCACCTCCATGCTAAATCTCTAAGGAAAAGCCACATCGCACTAACAAATGCTCCCAGTCACATGACCCCTGCCTAAGTGGAATTAAAACCAGGAAAAATGTGCACAACAAAATTAGAGCCTTAACTGATTAAGGCATTAGACATGTAGCCTTAAAAATAGCTCAAGCTGGCAGATGGTACCAGTTTACAGCCCGCACAGCTTCACTGACTGTAATGCAGTTATTCCACTGGATAGTTGTGAAGTCCAGCCTAATGTTATGATTCGCTTATGTAGCTAAACACAACACATAGCACTTCGACGCAAGCGTGTTGACAAGCAGGAATAAAGCGAGCCCACCTAAATTCACTTGAAAAATACAGTTGATGATATAGTGGGGGGGGGAGGGGGGGGATAACTTCCACAACAGAAACATTGACAAGCTGTTGATTGGGGGACTGCACCTGCTGGGCTGTGTTCAGCCAGTCACATGGAATAACTGGGCACGCTTTGTGTGCCGATTTCCCTGGCAGCTCTCCAGCCGCAGGAGAACAGGTGAATTATCAACCAGGCATGCCCACCCACATTGGAGGCAAACCATGCTAAGAAAACAACAAAAAAAAAAAAAGAATAGATAAACCTGATGAGGAATAACAGCAGCACTAGATCAAGTTACTTACAAAACATTTAGCATCAAAGCTCAAATGAAGAGTGGGCCTTTTATAGCATTTTTAATTTTTTTTTACTTGCCTGAAGGTGTCTTCTGATGCATCCGAGGAACAAAAACACACACATATGTTTGTATACCAGCAACAAAATAACCTTTAAGGCTATAATTTGACAGCAGATTACATTAAATGTTAGCGGTTAGCGCTCCGTGCCAGGTAGACACTCTCAGGCTTGAGTTTGATAGCACACTGTTACGCCACCTACTGTGGCAGTTAGGGGCCTTGGAGACAGGCAAAGAAAACAGGAACCTCATGCCACACATTTTGCCATCTCAGATAGCGTGACCTCATAACCGATTCCCCTCTTCTGACACACACACAAACATGTGTTGCACAAACGCAGTGCGTCCGGCAAGATTGTGACCTTCCACGTGTCATGCTGTGTTCCCCTCCTCTGCGGAGACCACCAATGGCCTTCACAGAGCTCAGCTAGTCATCATTACTGTCCTTCCTACACAAGTGATTCATGAGGTTTAGAAAAGGAAAAGGGTGAAATCTCACTAAATTCTAGAGTGACGAAACTGTGCAGGCGGGAGGGGCCTGTAAACGCCAGCGTCCCAGGTCAGATTCACACCATGGCGCCGGAATTTCACCACAGACAAATACAGCCAAAGAAAACCCAAAAAAAAGAAAAACAAAAAGTGAGTGACTGGTGCGATCACGGGGTCTCGCAAGCAGAGGTCAGGGAATCCTCCTGGAGAGACGGGCATTGCAGCTCTCAGCTTTGGTCCAGAAGCTGAGACATAGGGCTCACAGACTATATGATTACACAACAACACGGAGAGAAAGATAACATACAAAGCTCAAGGTGGACCTTCAAATTCAGATTCGTTTGGTCTGATGGGACAAACTGCGGTCGAATTCAAAGGATGAAGAGAGAAATGCTCTTAAAATCAAAATTACACCACGATCTAGAATGAACTGGAAATCTGAGCCGTGATTATGCTCCCAAAAACTAAAGATATGCACCTACTTTCCAGACAGCCAAGGCATAAGCAAACGCTGACAGAAACAGAAGTCAGCAGGTAAACTCAAAGAGCACCTCCCTGTGACTGGGCAGGTTCAACACGAAAAGGCACAAACAGCGGGGCAGATTGTGGACAGGGCAAATAAGACTGGACTGGACCAAATAAATATATAAAAACAGACATTCTGGAGGGATGGATTGATTGTAATGTCTGACCGCCGAAAAGAAAGAAAAAAAAGGCCATCACATAGATAACAAGGGCTGATAAGAATATTCAAAGTACCTGACACACAACTTGGACAAACACAGGTGGATCGAGACCTTCTGACCTAGTGTGTTAGGACTTCATATAGATGCCCTGCCCTAATAATCAGGATTATGGTCTAAAAAATTAATAATAATAAAAGAAATGAATATCAAACAAGATAAAGTCAGTATTAACCCCCCACACACACTATGACAGATTTGGAAGTATGATATCAATCTGTATGCATAGGCACCTAGGCTGCAAATGGTTAACCATGAGAAGAGCTAGCAATCATCCCAGAGGTAGAGGGACCTGGAATACACAGGGCACTGACGGGGCCATCTGCCGCCCAGCCGAACAACTTCACGCCAGCAACTCCTGAAGAGCCCGTATTTAGGAAGAGGAAGAAGAAAAAAAAACACTTTAAAAAAAAAAAAAAAAAAAAAAAGCCTGTGTGGGGTGGGGACTAAGGGCCTTTATACACGGCTTTATCCAAAACTGACTGGCCAGCACTGGCAGAACTTTCTGGAAATAGCACAAGAGTGTGACCCCGACTGCCCTCGAGCCTCACTAGCAGCACCTCAGACACAGAACCACCGGGAACCATGCCGCAATCACTATGTTGACAGCCCCCCCCCAAAACACATTAGTCCACTTCTGCGTTATTACTGGCAGAATCCATTCAGAAGCTGTGGACTGACAGCCATTTCTGTGCAGCCGAGACTCCGCCAAAGTCTCTCTTCACGGAAGGAGCCAGAAGACGCACCATGTGATCTTTAGCAGCTGTATCTTGTCCCGCAAAATGGGGGGGGGGGGGGGTGAGGCGAGGTCGGATTGGGCCTTTCTCCCTGCCTAAGGTCAGCCGGTTCGACGGCCCGGGGATCGATAATGGGTCCGATTCGCTCGTGAAAGAGCTTACCTCGAATCTTCAGTGCCATTCAATCTTCCTCTGTCTCACTGCCTGCACTGGGTCACACCAAGTCTCGGGTATCATAATCCTTAGCTGCCTGATGAGGACAGGAGAGAGACATCAGCTACGGAGACACAGCAGGGAGCCACTAACATGGAGATCATATAAAATGAGACAGAGAAGCAAACCACCCAGAAACGTGATCACCACGGAAATACATTCCTGACATCTGTCGTGTAATGGAAAAATTGCAAAAATGAGGTGTGAGCGAATAAATGGCCTTCGGTTTGTTAAAGACCTTATGATTTAGGAAACGGGGAAAAAAATAAGGAGCCAACCTTTATTTCCAGTATCAACCAAGGACCAGTAATCATTTAACAGTTATGAGGGATTGTAGGGAACTATACGTTTCTGATCCATTTCCAAATGTGCCCAGACATATTACCTGTCCCGCAAGAAACTAATGTAATTCAAAATATAGAATCATTAAATTCAATTGTATTTGTATAGTGCATTTCCACAACATTACATTCGGTTTTCAGCGATCAAAGGGAAAAAAAAATATTTGTTGAGACATTTTACCAATACATCCATTCCTCTTAGAAAGGTGAAGGAAAATTAAATCAACTAAACTCTTTTGGATTTTACAATGAATTCAGATGGTAGATGTTCATTTTTTCCCCTAATCCAAAGTCATCATCCAAACGTTAAAAACAGAACATTTAATACCATAAAAGAAATACATCCATAACAAAAGAGATATCCAAGAAAGTTTCAACAACCCATTTTATCTCACTTAAGCCAAAACAGATTAAACAAGCTTATTGCCACCACTAATTACTTATTACTGTGTTATCTAGCAAGACTGTACAGCAGGTTCCCATTAGTTAAAAAAAAGGATTTGGAGCAATAAAGAATGTAATTATCTTTGCACTCTGACTTATCTCTTAGATCATAATTTTCTGCTGTATTCATTGTATCGAAATAACCCGTTTATCAGCCAGTCCACTACTGTGTGATCTTTTCAAACGTATTTCCAGCGGCTCATTACCTGTCCCGGCCTGACCAAAACCGTATTATCAGTTAATTACAGTACGTGCTATTCAGTTGTTAGTGCCACCGATCTACGACCCAAAATAAATCCCAGTAAATCAAACGTTACTGACAATCAGGGTTACGTTACATGTATATTATTAAATCTGAAATCAG